AATGCCAACAGAGTGACATTTGTTAACCTTTCTCTCTCAGCTTTTGTAGGATGTAACCTAAAATGGGAGCGAGAATTTGTAGTGCGTAGTACTATGTTAAGCCCACATGAGTTATTCTGGCTTCCAGACAGATCAGTTAATTTATCCTTTTCGAGACATATTTGATCTTGCCGATCATTCATATATTAGCCTTGACTGTTCCTATCGTATCGTTTACCTTATTGATCACATGCATTGACCTTATTCTTGTCTAGTTATAAATGATGAGTCACGTTTGATCAAATGAAGTTGGTACGCTTGCCTTCTGTGCTTTGTTTTCCTTCGCTTTCCCGCTTTTCATTTTTGATGTATATTGGTAATCGTGTGCCTGAAATGAATCCATTCAGCTCAAACCGTAACTCCGCCTGTAGTTCTACCTGGGTTACTGCCGGTCTCAAGCCACACGAAGAATGAAGGTTGGGCATAGGGTCGGAAATACCATCACGTCAAAAACACCTTACTAAAAAACTCCAACCAGAATAAACAAGTCAAATCATTTAAAATCTGCTCTCCCGGTTGAAAGATAATCATTCAGAAGAATTATGACGCCTCATAGGGAAAGCCGAGATTATTCGAAAGTTATGAGGCTGATACCCCATCTAACAGCTGGAAAGAAAATGTAAGATTTAGAAGAGATTCTGCCGTACTCAAGTCATGAAGAAGAAAATGCTCCACACACTCACAAAGGTTTCCTGATGTTGTCAAAAAATCACGTAAAGCATTTATAGGATGGGAATTCCATGGATCCAAAATCATCAAAACATCCTTCAGAATAAAAAAAGACGGAATCACAATGAATGTTATCCAATGATAGGTACACAACAATCATAGTAATGAAAACAATAATGACCAGTTTCACGAGAGACTGTAGTCGATCATAGAGAAGTGTCGAGAAAGGACCAAATCATGCAGATGGGAGAGCCAATCGTCAAAGTTTGAATGGACAACAATCGGTATGAATATATAATGGGACGACATGAACTGACTAGGAGAAACGAACGAGAATAACGAGAGATTCGCAAATTGATGTGCACTCAACAAAATGTTTATGATTGGCACAATATTTCGCCACAAATGCATGAATTAAGCTACATGGGTTTCACTGGACCACACTACACAAAATGGGATCAATCATATTTGCATCAGTAAAACGTCAGAAGTTCAGTGAGAGACGTGAGAATAAGGAGAGGAGCTGATGTAGCTTCAGATCACCATCTACCAGATGGTTGACAAGATGAACGTGAAACTGGAGAGCCACTGGACAACTGGAGAAACAGCATCACAAACATTCGACACAGCATTTATTCGACATACTGACAAACCCAACCAATTCAAGATAACTCTCAACAACAGATTCCAAGCCTTACATGATCATTTGGAAGAAGAAGAGGAAATGGATTGAAGGAAGACTAGTGTCAGCGTGTCAGGAGATTCTTGGTCGCCACAAGCATAATCATAGGAAGGCATCTCTGTTGAAACCATTTGCGAGATTTGATAAAGGAAGAACAAGAAGACGGTAATGAACAACAGTCGAACGAGAGCAGAGACAGTCAAGGCACAATCTAATTACATTGAAGCAATCAAGCGAGTGAAGAGGGACATTGGAGTCAACAAGTGGAAATATGTGGTGGACATAGCAACAACAACGGAAAACTCTGCTAGAGAAGGAAATCTGAAACAACTATATGACACAAAGAAGAAACTGGTAATGAACTATAGTAAACCAGAGAGACTGTTCAAGTACAAATAAAGCAAGGCAATGACTGAGATTCAAGAAGAGAGGAACAGTTGGATAGAACAATTTGACCAACTGTTAAATAAACCAGCTCCATTCAATACACTAGAAATCCATTCAGCACCTACAGGCATCCTTATACATCGCACTCCATCAATGATCCATAAAGTCAGGATGGGCATTAGACAAGTGAAGAGTGTAAAAATGTTGCACGACCTGACAACATACCAGCTAAATCACTGAAGTCAGACATAGTAGTACCTGCATACATGCTCCATATTCTATTCAGGAAGATTTGGTGGAGGGAAATGCAAGTGATAACAGACTTAGAAGATGAATACCATAGATATCAAGATACCAAATGAAGGAGATCTGGGCAAATCTGAGAACTACAGATGCATCACACTACTATCGGTACTAGGAAATGATTACAACAGAGGATTGCTGAACCGGGTGGAGGATTTAGTAGATGTCCATCTTCAAGATCAACAGACAGGATTCTGTAAGGATTGGTCGTGCACAGACCAAATCGCGACACTACGGATCATCGTTGAACAATCAACTGAATAGAATTCGTCACTATACATCAACTTCATTGACTATGAGAAAGTGTTTGACAGAGTGGATAGGAGGACGTAATGAAAACCTCTTCAACACTATGTTGTACTGAGAAGATCGTCAACATCAACCGGAATTCATACGATGGACTACACTGCAAAGTCATGCATGATGGACAGTTGACAGACTCATTCCAAGTGAGGACCGTCGTCAAACAAGGCTGCTCACTCTCCCTTCCTCTTTTTGTTCTGGTTGCTGAGAGGTTTATGAAGACCCCACATTTCATTGGAAGCAATAAATACAACGGACAGTAAGGATGCAATTAGATGATTTGGACTTTGCAGATGAGATAGCTCTTCTATCCCATACACACTAACAAATGCAGATGAAGACAACTAGTGAAGCAGAAGCATCATCGACGGACAGGAAGGATCCAATTGTACCGGAAAGGCAAGGATTGGCATAGAAAAGGCAGCATTTATACAGTTGTTGAACATATGGAACTCAAAACAACTGCCAACTAATATCAAAGTCACAATCTACAATACGAACGTGACGACAGTTGTACTGTACGGAGCTGAAACGTTGAGGACCACAACAACCATAATCAAAAAGCATGAGTATTTATACACAGTTGTTTATGCAAGATACTCCAGATCCGGTGGTCAAACGCAGTCAGTAACAGTCTACTGTTAGACAGAACAAAGCAACCTCCAACAGAATAAGAAATTAGGAAAACATTTCGAAGACGGGTAAAACATAAATTGTGAAAATCATGAAACTGCATTACGAAGCAAGCGTTAACTTGGAGTCCTGAAGGGAAAGAATAAGAAGACTAAAAACATGTTGAGTCACGGATTGGAAGCAGACATGAAAATGATGAATAGCAACTGGAAACAACTGGGAAAGACTGTACAGTGCAGAGCTTGATGGGTATGCTGATGAGTGGTCTATGCTCCTCCACGAGATGTAACAGGAGTAAATAAGTAAGTAGTAGACTTCGATAATTGGATTAATATGCCAAAATACAAAACTCAATTTTCATGAGATGTATTCATCCCATGTTAAATTTATCAACTTTCACAGAAGTGAGTATAAATGCTAACAGATAGAGCTGGTAATTAATCATTAACTCTTTTCTCCTTTTTTTTTATCTAAAGATTGAGATTATTTCACATTTGAATCGACTTGAATAATTGAAATGTTTTTATTTTTAGCCTTCACAATTATAGACTAGTAGACAGTCCAGTAGTTTTTCAGAGTTACACATGTGTACACTTTTAATTTTACTCACCTAACTAAACATACTAATTTTATTTTTCTCTTTTTTCAAAATAAATCTCATTTGCTAAGCGAAACGTGGGTTTCATTACTGAAATATGACCGATAAACTGATCTGATATTAAAGTACTTAAATCAATTGGTCTCTTTGATAAATCTCGTTAGTGTAATAAGAATAATAATCTTCGTCTTCTTATTACATTATCGAAATTAAAGTATTTCTCAATAGACAATGTCATTCAATACTAATGATAAAGAATAAACTTGTTACATTTTTATCAATTCTGTGTAAAAATGTTTTGATTTATTATTCTACTACGGTTCAATACAGTCTATTTCATCGTTTAATGTGGGAAAAAATCTAAGCTGCTATTAATATTATAGAATTTTAAATGAATTGGAAAACACTAATGCTTTTATGCATGTAAATTTTATTGTTTTCTTAGAGGATATACAATAATATGATATATCTATTAGTTTCTGACCTATGTATGCATGTATTTACACGATATTTTCACTTTCCTTCTATGAAAGTGATATCCGTCTAACAAGCGGTGACGATGATTATAAATTCCCGTAATCTTCAATAGTTTTTGTGTCTTATAATGGTATTTTAATAGATATATAGCTACATTATAATATAGGATGAATCATTTCATAAAACAACTTACGAAAGTTTATTCAATTTAAAACAACAGTTTCTAAGGATACAATTTACAAATTTATTACCCAATAAGACATTAAAGAGGAAGATGTATTTGTAAAATCTCAGCGAAAGAATTTGAAGTAAATTCAACGTTTCGCCTGGCAATCTGGTCCAAGCTATTTCAAGGGAAATATAATCAAACAAAAAAATTATCGAATATAAATAGGCACGTGGTTCTCTGGTTTACTGTATCCAATCAACGTTAACAATATTTAAAGTATGTATTTACGTTAGTGTGTAAGAGATATGTGATGTGAAACGAAAAGTGTTAAGATAACAGATTGTGTGTATACGTAAGTGAGAAGGAATTTCATTGAACTAAGATTACATTCAACGTTGGATTTAATTCAAATTCATTCGCTGAGATTTTACAAATACATTCTTCCTCTTTAATGTCTCATATTAACTCGGCGCCCAGATACTGTGAAACTATTCTTTCGAATTTAGACGAAAGTTCTTATTTATTACCCAATAACTTATTTGTTGAAAATGTAATGTTTCTTTTCTAATTTGATATGCATTATAAAAATAACAGCTGTGTGAAATAGTTGTAACAATTATAGTCAAATAATTAGTGTTTCTGATCAAAGCAGTTGCCGAAATAGCCTTGTTTTGGTCTGTAAGTAATCCTGAAAAGGAATACTTCTGAATCGTTTTCTACAGTTTCTTAAGTAATACAGAAATAAAGGAATAAGAAATCTAATTTATTTTTTTCATATGTATTAAAGTATTAAAGTCACACAGACCAGCAAGCCAAATAATTGTTCCTTACAAAGAACTCAATTATCATCCACTTTGTGTTTTTATCATCAAATAGTTTCATGAGTACAACCATAAATGTCTATTATTTTATATGCATATTTATAGGTCTACATATTCCCTCTATTGATAGATATATTATGAATGATTTGATTATAATTTACGGTCATACTACTTAAATATATACTAAAACATTCTGTTCTCGACGATGTATCAACGGCGATAGTTGTTGAATTCTTAATTCAATAAAAAACAATTATACATATGTTGGTCGATATGAATCTTGGTAAATAATTGAAATAATTGATCATGATACTATGCCTGTCATGTCGTTTAACTTATTTGGCTAGAAGACGTAGATTTATTATGCTTATAATTGGTATCGAAAACCATAATTATATTAAAAAAACAAACACACTCATCAATTACACTCTGTACCAATATTACACAATAATAAGCTAACATAAATATGATCATGTGTGCATTTATGCTTCGGATTCTACTTTAATAGCATTTGTGCATGTGTTAGTGAAAGCAGAAACACTGTCACATACAATATGTTGAGAGTATATATATAGGATTAATCAATTTTGTTTTTGTATACTGGAAACTCTTTAAAAATTCTTTACGTAAACAATTAAAGACTCTTGGCAATAAATATCGACAAATTCTCTTCATTTAAAAAAAATAAATCAATTCAAATAGACAAGTCAACCTACTATGCCAAGAGCGATTAAAAGACCCCCGGAAGTTGAGGATTTTGAAAAATGCCATCATAGGCAAGTGTTGGTTAACACGTTTCTGGAAGTAAGTTCACCTTACACAATTGGAAGTTTATTGTAAAGTCCATTTTTACATCTGTTCATCTAATTATTAGTATAAACAGTTGAAAGTTTAGTGACTTATTTGTTCATTGTGGACTGAAATAATAATTAATTCTTCGTTGGCACATAAATTCCTTGGATTAGTGAGTTGATAATGCCATCAGCTAAGCAATGATTAATTTTTGTGTGATGAATTCAGATTTCAATCAGATCTAAAAAATTGTCGATTTGCAGCTCCTTCAAATATCGAGGTATCAGCCTATGGAGTTCATATTTGCTGAAAGTTAATATAAAAATACGACTCTTAATATTAACAAAGGGAAAGTACAAGCAGAGATGGATAAAACTATTCTCAATGGAAATCTACTTTTCATTATCATTTGTAAATAGGTTAGTCGATCTTCCATTATTTAGACGAAATTCACTTGAATTTCGAAATGCAGAAACTATCGTCACACATTTTTGCAAAGATGCTTGTTGTTCCGTGAAGCCACTAATTATTGGTCTGAACCGTGTTGGTTAGCATAGACTATGTGGTTGAGGTCTGCATGATTATCGTAACTAATGATTGGATACAATCGCTGATGTAAACTGAGGTCTTTCATAGTGCGGTAAATCCGTTTTTAATGTTTTTGGATAGAAGTTCAGTTCCGAAGATATTTTATATTTTAGAATTTCTTGAGTTCCCTCTTGTTTTCTGAATCAAACTGTCAATATCTGCTCTTCTCAGCTACCATTAACACCGTTAATAATCCTACTCCTTTAGAATTTATCATAATAATTTCATATTGTTGTGTACATGCGGTGTGATATCAATAACTGTCAAATTCTACGTTGTTTATGACTGGCTGATGAATCACTTTGTGTCTATTGACAAATAATGTCTAGGGCTTCTGCATGCCACTTTTTTGATAATTATAAGCATTCAGTTTATTTCATATCTATTGTGTTAGACGTCGAACACTTTATTTATGGCACAGGATTATTTGAGTTGATTGATAATTATAATGAAAGTTTAATAATAACGTTTGTATAAACAACTACGAGTGAGATTTACAACAGGAAACTTCATTCTCCAATTATTATTGTTGATTCCGTTTTCCAAATGTTTATAGCCAAATTTATCCATAATGCGTTAATCCAAACAAAGATAAAGTGATTGATTACTGAATGATAGAAACTGTTAGTATTAGTAAACAAATTCTACTGCCATATTCAGTCGAGGATTAGTAAAATTTTTTAACTTATTTCATTGCATTATATCAATATTTAAAATCAAATAACACTATGTCTGTTAACACTAAGTGAGCAGTTGATGTTGACATTATTGTTCTACAGAGATTACAAACTGAATAACATACTGGTAATGTCTTCAATTGTAACTTTGAAAGATGAAGGTTGAAACAGTAAGGGCAACATTAATCATCACAGTATTTTATATATTTTCTACTGATGACAGCCAACGTTTATGAAATCTAGATTTTAACCACACAACTCCAGTATTATATATTATCGTCTGGGTAATTAGCTCATTTTTTTGATCGAATTACTGATGAAATGACGAGTTTTATGACAGGTCATTTAAAGGTAACTTCTTTTATATTTTATTTTTCTACGGATATACTGAATAACATGTAAACATATATTCATGAGCACCAGTGAAAATTATAGTAATGATATTTTTAAAGTTGTACACATCAAAAAATAATAAAACTCTTCAGATTCCTGAATAAATACTGTCATAAAATTATAAGAAACTGATGTTATATTACTCACTTACTTACACCTGTTTCCCCTCATGTAACATAGGACTCGACCAGGTCTCTTCAACCAACTCTAACTATGCACTCTCCTTTCTAGTTGTTCGCAAGTGCTTTACATTCCCTTAATGTCTGCCTCGCGTTCCAGACTCAAGATGTTCTTTAGTCTGACTATTTTACCATTTTCTTTGGAATTTCAAGATAGGGCTTCTCTAGTGATTCAGTTTAATGATTCACGCAATGTGTGCCCTATCCACTTTATATATATACCTGTATCCAGTATATTTAGTATTGTCCGCCTCAACTTACATCCTAACAACGATAAATAGGTTTGATATGTAAAATTTCATACTATTCCCATTGTTATTATAAATTGTTATTCATATTTCATGCTATACAAAACGTATAATTTGTAAGTCTAAAATCATGTGAAAATTATGTTTAATTAAGTAAGAATGCATCTAGATAATTTTATGTTTTAGAAATCTATGCATTTATTAAATCCAAACTTAAACATGCCAAATGGATATGCTACAAAAGTGAATGACAAACCATCAATAAATATGAATAGTCAGACAATGTAAGTTGTTTCATTATTATCTTTACATTATGTTAGATAAATTATTTGTATACCTAATCATTTGATAACATTCATTAATATCTGAGTATTACATTGTTATATTTTTCTAAAAAAAATTCACTTATGAGTATTTATAACGAACCGTGATTTTCATAAATTTAATTGAATTTATACTAATATCATTAATTTTTATGGTTGTCATTCCTGACTGGCTTCAAGTGATATTTTCTGGAGTTCTTGTGAGAAGCAGTGATCAGTGAAGCTCAACCGACTCTGTTGTGAGATAGTAGCTCATTGAAGACAATGGTGGATATGTCGCTCAATTTCGTGGATTAGTTAAAGTTAGACATTAAGACCGTTGGATGCCGGCCCAGTGGTCTAGTGGTTAAGTGCTCGCGTGCAAAATCAGTAGGTCCTGGGTTCGAATCTCGCAGGAGGCGAGGTCGTGGATGCGCACTGCTGAGGAGTCCCACAATAGGACGAAACGGCCGTCCACTGCTTCCAGATTTTCCATTGTGGTCTAGCTTCAACTAACTCATGATCTTAGCCATTGAAATTCCTATAAGACTCAAAGATTCAGTAAATGTACAATGATCCTTTTGCCTAATATAGAAATATATAGTAATACATAAAAAACGTTTATTATTACTTTATAATAATGGCAATGACTTATAGATTTTAACACTTTTACTATATGAGATAAAAGCTTATTCCAATAAGTTTTTTTCGATTACACTGTAGTGAACAGAACACGGGTGGGGACAATCGAATGTATTTAACACTAAATTACATGATTATTTAGTAAAATCTAACAATCATAAAGTAAATGCTTAATTTGCAAAATGTCCATCGATTGTCTCATAATGACTCAGACTTCATTGTTCTTGCATTTTTCATACAAATTACGTCCTGTTTCCATTCTTTAGTGTTCGATCCTCTTGTCTCTCTGCTGCTAGACCTTCTTTTCACGACTAATATCATATACTACTTATGTCAATATAAGTAGCACACATCACAACACTATTGTCATTTCAGTTGTTCATCATACAATGAAAAAACAAACTTTTTACATCAGAAATTAAATGACAAAGTATACGATATAAAGATATAATTACCTTTTTTTTAATATCTATATTCTGAATATCATATTTACATGAATGGAACAATAGTCTTCAGTAATTGCTGTACTATCTTTCAACTTGATAATTTAGGATAATTAAAATCATTTTATCAAAGATAACCTTATACAAACATTATTTTAATTTTTTTTATAGAAGAATAATATTACGTATGATAATCTGTAACTTTTAACAAAACCAATCTAATCTATCTGATGGTAACAGATTTCAATGGATTTACAATAAAGCTGAAAGATTTTTCAAAAGGGATGTTGTTATGTCCTTTTGGTCAGTCTAACAACTTTTGGTGCTAAGGCTACTTATCTAATACAGATTAAGACCTTGGCGCGATAGGCTGACCGACGTAACCTTGAGGCTAGTACGCGTGAGTTCGAAGTGGGGTAGAGAGAAAACTATTCTACCACCTGATTGGCTGACAAACACGCAAATGAGAGAAGACAAGACAACCGGAACACCACTCGATCTATCCCCGACATCCTGATTTCAGTTCGGATTAGTGTAAAAAGGTACATGAATAAATAAGTGAATAACCCGACCACAACGTACAATAATTAGGAAAAATACAATTATGTCCAAAGCTGGAGCTTAGAGTAGAAAATAAGGTGCAAAGTATTATGTTTAAATTACAATAGCTTCGTAACAGAAAAGAGTATCTCAATGAATCATACATCTAACGAAAGCTTATGTTCTGTAGAATAGTTTAGGGAAAAAAATGTTAGCGTTTTACAAACTTTGAATAAAATGGAATAACGTCCCGAAAAATAGTTTGCGTAGTTTGTCTGGGCTTCTTGTTTCCCTGTTCACATCAGACGTTAATTTCAAATATCGCAAATATACATATATCTTCTTATGAAGTAATACATTGAAAATATATTTCAAAAACTATATCTAATCGAGGATAGGTTTATTGGTTGTTACATACGACAAGTATACTAATAAGTATTATGTCATATTTATTATAGATTACATTGTGAACGAATTTATTTTATGACTTAACCAATTGACTTGATATTAGAAAGAAGAAAAAGGATCACCACATTGTTTTTCTTAAACTATTGATGTTTTCTATTATTTTTACGTAGTGATCATTTAGTGTACATCATATCTGATATCAGTTTTTTGATATCTCATTAAATCTGTAAAATTACTTGTATTCAAACTACATATTGACAGTTTACATATAATACATCCTTTTATCCTTCGACATTATCCTTTATATATTTTATAGCTGCATGTTATTTTCATTATGCTTATTGTCTTATTTTGTAGGGCACAAAAAGAAATTGATTGCATAAAACAATTCGAAAGACAACTTCCACCGGAATATCCATGCATTACAATATATTTTTCTGATATGGAATGTGATCTAGAAAGGAAATGTATATTGTATATTGTGAGAAGATGGGATCGAGACGATCCATTTGTTAGTATGTCACCATTTTTGAATGAATTAGAAAGAGATTATGGCAGAGGATGGAAATTTGAACGAGTTACTAATCCAATTAAAGTTGGCCGTATAAGTACTTCAACAAAACCTAAATCAACCTTTTGTTTTCGCTATGAACCAGATTGTTATATATATAAGTTTTATAGCGATTAAGAAATTGAACGACAAGAGTTAATTTGAAACAATACAAATTGATATCAAACTTCAATACTTGTTGTTTTTCTTCATGTAACATATGAAGTCTTATAATAATGCGTTCTTTGTTTTGGTGTTATTGTAGAAACGATGTAGTGTGGATTAATAAGTGAAGAGTTCGTTAGATGCATTTTGTCACATTATTCGCTTCTGATAAATAATTTTACTCGTACAGGATAAATCACTATGAAAATGTTGTTGAACGCTTGTATTTATAGCAAAATGATATTTAGTCAGTATAAGATAGTAACCAGTCCTTCAATTCTGATGGTAACAGTTTAGGTGTAAGTAACGAAGAAATTTCTTTTTCTCGAATGTCTAACAGCAGTGTTTTACTTAAAAATGCTGAAATCAAAGATGTTATATAATTCAATAACGTGATCCTTCAAATCTAGTATCCATGATAAATATATCAACTGCATCAGTAAAAATGTTTTGAATCTACAAAAATCCAGAGAGCTGATACTGTTACATGTCTTACAAGGTGGTTGTCTCATGAATGTTAAAACTAAACATAATATATTAGCATTGATCTAATGTTTTCTTATCAAAGTGTATTCCGATTCTGTATGCCTGCTTTACTGTGTCTAAGGATATTTGACTGCACACACATGAATGGATTTTTGTCACTATAATAATAGTACAGGTTTATGACTCACAATCACTAATCATCAGTGTTCAGCCTCAAAACATACTAACCATTTCTCTGCCTAAAAAATTGAAAATTACAATATTACTAATAACAAAAGTTAATCTTAAACTATTAAAGTAAATAAACGGAACTGTACTTCATCTAATGAATGAAACAAATCATCAAGTTTGATAAGTCCTTTGTCAAATATTTTATACAAATTTAGTTATATAGAATCAAATGGAAAGGATCAATATTTATGTCTTCCAATACACAAACAGCAAAATAATAATAAATTATGATTGAAATTTGTTAACATATCACATACATATTAAGAAATCATACTATCAAGTTAAAACAAAAAAATATATACTGATTAAGCTTTCTTTTTGGATACAGTAATTTTAAAATAGAAAATGAAACTAGAAAATGGACCACCTAGTTAAATATGAGATTTTAAAGTACAGTGATCGATTCTACAAATGATTATTATAAATAATGCAGAAGCTAAAAGACAAGAAAATAATAATAATAATCAATCGTTTCAATGTGTTTATTTCGCAGTTATATTCCCTTTTCTATGTTAACTTTTCGATATCAGTAAAAATTCAAGAGTAATAATATATAAACAGAAATAATAAATAATGAATAGCCTAAGAGATTAGGAATGAATGAATAAAATAGAAATAAGACACTTTAAGAACTCGAATTAAACTTTCTTTACAATTCAGTTTATACATTAGTTTGGAGATGAAGCTTAAGATATTTTCGAAGAGATTATAATTTATGAACGACATTTGAGCAACGCTAGACTGACCTTGAGAGTGTCTACCTGATAACTAGGACCAAATGAGGGTTATAAATTAGTATGAGGATTTCTAATAATGATTTTCACATGATGGTTGAGGTCATGAATTAGATTTAGGGCTTTCATCACGAACTGACATCAGCTATAATGCCAAATGGTTGAATCCGAGACCTGTTATCTTATACGTGATTAGTTCATTCATAAATTATAGTCTCTAATTTATGGACGAGCCAATCAGAAGCGTTTGAGCAATTTCAAGGTCACGGAGCCAAGTTCAACACCTGATGCTCACATACGATCGGTTTACAGCGGATTTTAGAGAAGAGGTGATTATTGAGTGGCTACAATAGATGAAACTATTAAGAAGTTCCTGTACCTGTGACTGCGGTTATCAAATGACTGCACTAAAGTGTGCAGACTATCGTGATGAGATTATGTTTCGTTGTTCTTTATGTTGGTGGAAAAAGTGTGCTCGAACGGGGACTTTCTTCGCTCGATTGCGACTGAAACTGAGGCAAATCATGATAATAGTTTCAAATTGGATAATAAAGACACCAGTAACACTGGCTGTGGTGTTTGCAGATGTTACTGAAACTTCAGCAGTCCATTGGTATGAGTATTGTCGTGACATATGTGCACTTAAAATGACACGTCTACACCAGTCATTCGGAGGAGTAGGAAGTATTGTGGAGATAGGTGAAACAGTAGTGAGAAAGCGAAAATACAACAGGAGGCGTAGTATCAAGGAAGATTGGGTAAGTAGCACTTCCGTAAATATACTTGAGAGGTACTTGGGATTAATGATCGATCGACGCAAAAGGGGCATTTTTCAGAGGGTCAGAAACCGGCAAGCAAGCACAATAATACCAATTATACAGGAATACGTGCAGCCGGGCACTACGGTATATACGGATGATTGGAGAGCTTATCGATGCCTTCATAGACTTGTCTATGTCCATCATGTTGTAGTGCATAAACGTCATTTTGTCTACCCTACTACTGGCGTTCATACTAACAACACTGAAGCCATGTGGTCGAGATTGAAGGAATTTTTAGGACCGTACCACGGCTCTAGAGGACGACTATTATGGAGCCATATGGACGAGTTCCTATATCGCATGCATTATGATTTCAGAACATCTGAACCTTTATCAAACCTTAACAAGTTTTTAAATGATGTAAAAGAAGAATATCCACTGTAATTCAATAGTTTCTTATAATATATTTTTACTTTATACTAACTGTCTTCTGATTGGCTAATAATTGCCAAAGTCATTTAAGATTCGTTCAAGGTTCGTCCATAAATTAGAGTCTCACCAACTATTATCACCCTATGAACTTATGAAAATCAAGGATCTTTGAACTGTTGTTTTGTTCTAACTTGAAACTGCTCAAATGAATCCATTCAAACACTCCGTTTCCGTCTTTTACTCTTAAAACAAACTAAGATAAGCGAGTTTAAATTAGGCATTAACCATTTCAAGTATTTGACGGATTAAAGAATTGAATCTTATTATGTATCGACTTAGAACGAATTTACTCTGTTCATTGTAAACTAGATAACATGGGAGTACACAATAATCTTTGAGTGGTAAAACATAGTGAACTGGAGATTTTTATATTTGAGGTTAGATCTAATACATTTTTGTCTGTAACTTATTGACAAAAGAATAATGTACTGAGTTTCAGCAGAATTACTTCAAATTACATAAAACAGACCAATATGATCGTGTGCTGAAAAAATACTTCAGTAGGTTTTGTGAAAATCCTCAAATACTTTTTTCATTCAAAAAGCTGCACAAATGGGACTGCAGATCTGTAGCGTTTATTGATGCAATTAAACACACTTTTTAATAACTTTTTAATCGTGTTATTCAAATTTATTTGTTACAACCATGACCGTATTTTAATAATGATTACAAGGATAATCATAGAACACGAAATAGTTGGAGAAAGTGACAGATGATATTGTCTCTCAATCAGAAGACTGTATAGAGATTCATTCAATAAATATTTTACATTGAAATGGTGCCCTCTACTGTACTCTCAACCGTAACAAAGAGCAAATACTTTTGCCAGTAAGATTGTATACCAAACAATAAGTGAAAACACTTGTATCCGGCTCCATTTCTGTAATGTATGTTTCTTTAAGTATGCACTTTTAATACAATGTATTTTAATTAGATTTCAACTAAACTCTATGTATCATTCTAAGACATGTAAAAAACAATTGTTACCTTAATTCTGAGTGACTGAATAATCGCACAATAAGTTTTTTGAATAATACAAACATAAATACATCCTAAATCTTATGGAACTTCTAATAAGTGTATACATACAATGTAACCTTGAAACTATAACTTGATGCCAATCATGACTACAAGTACGATTTCGAAAATCAAAAATTTTAAAGAATAATTATAGAAGTATCAGTAATTCAACACGAATAGGATAACTACATTTGATTATCTTTATTTCTACAATCTAGTTCATGCTTAATTGAAGGAATAAAAAAACATCATCTCTTCAATTAGTTTATGCTAACTGGATTTAAGAACATTTGAATTTGTAAGGATACTTAATCTAGTAAAATTTCTTGATCGCTCATATATGATAGAATATATTTTGTTTACTTACGATGTTTCTAAAAATAGTGATTTCACCGATTAAACAAAATGAAGGCATTCTCAAATGTATTTCTGTAAATAGAGCAATCAGAATACCCGAGAGTTATTGAACAAACATTGAACGGTACAGTTAAGTAAATGTTTGATATGAATGCGAACCGTCTATATGCATCTCGAGAATGCACTGAATTACAGTGTTTGAAAAGTTATTCAAATAAAAAATGCCAACATATCCAATAGGGGATCATTGAAATTATCAAGCGGAGCGTTCTTTCATCCCGACTTTATATACAATCTTAATTCGGAGAAAACTATGGGGGTCTTTAAAAATTGCTAACCCCTACCCACAGAACAACCATGAACTGCCGAACGAGGTCAAATGACAAGAAAATAAGTGAGTTCTTGAAATCTCTATGCTCTCGTACGACGTCATTCTAATGAAACCACATCTGTTTATCTTATCACAATGTTAAAATTGTGTAGTCCTAATTTTTCTCTCTTCTCGGAACAGCACACTTGGAGCCCATAAGAACAGTCCATTATTTCGGAATTAGTCAAATTACTATATGCTAAATACACAGTTTTATGCTCAGTCATTAAGCAGTGTATAGCTAGGCTACGAGGTATTACATTAGCACTTTTATTGGATTTGCACAAAAAATAACTGTGATAATCGAAAGATCTTTTCTAAGGAATAATGTAAACATATTGTAGTGAACGAAGACTTAGTGAGGATAACCAAATTATTATTTGATGCATCATTGCACAGTACCTTCATAAAATATGAAAATATACATTAAATACATTATTTGTACATGTTTCTTCAGTTGTCCTTTACACGCTTCATGATTTTTTTCAGTTCCGTTTTCATTACAATCACTCTCGTTTTACATTCCTTTTCTCTTCAATTTGAGCTCCTCAATCTTCTGTTACTAGACATTCCACTTCTGGTTGATGTTACATACTATTTACATCTGCCATACACTACAATATCATCTCCCTGTTCTTATAAAGTAAAAATGTAGAATAAATATAACTGTAAACCTCTAG